TTCCCTTCCCCCTCCCACCCCTCCTCCCCCCCCCCCCCCCCCCTCCCCCCCCTCCCCCCTCCCTCACCTCGGCCAACACTGCCCAAACCACCGCTGCCTCTTCCCCTGTCACCCCCCCCCTCCCCTTCCCCACTCACCACCCCCACTCCCTCCATGCACATACACACCCGCTCTGTCGTACCGTCATCCCCTGCTCATTCTCTCCTGCCCCTCGCTCCTGCCACAGTCCTGGCCCAGGCCGCAGCATGCTCCCCCCCATGCAACAACGTCTCCACCGTGTGCGACACCGCTGCGGGGGCTTGTGTGTGCAAGTCGCCGTACGCCGGTAGCCCGTGCGCACTGCCACTGCCGACCTCTCCGGCTCACTCGGATGACGGATACTACACCCGAGGCCTGTTTGTTATCTACGCGCTCCCGGTCCTCCTCCTCCTCCTCACTGTCCTCTTTGGCACACTCTACCTCCGCTGCACCGGTGAGACCGAGTCGTTTGAAGACATCATTGCCGAGGATCGCATGGTCGTTGCCCGCGAGCGCGCCCGCAAGACCGACGCCGCCACCACCGTCGTCATCAACCCGGTCGGGCCCGAGGCCGGCCTCCGCGACTCGGCCCCGTCGTCCCAAACAGCCACACCGCGCGCCACACCAGCTGGCCTCAACACCTCGGTCGCAGACCTCACCATGGCCGACGACGACTCAGGCGACGGCTACTCCTCTGACACTCCGCCCGGCGCTACAGTCAAGGTCGAGACCATTGCCATCGACTCGGGCTCAAGTGACGTCTGACACGCGCGATCAGACACGAGCATCCGGCCACGGGCCGCTGGCCGCCAAGCAAACGACTCCCCTATGCACAACTCACTTACAACTCATACACAGCCATCCACAGCCAGGCGTTATCCTTTCTACCATCGCCTGCCCAACCACATCCGCGGCTTCCAAACGCCTCTCCCGGCTGCGGGAGCCAAACTTCCATTTGCGTGCCAAACTGTACCCAGCGATGAGAGGCCTCAACACTCATCTCCACCCGTATCACGCCAGCCTGCAAGGCATCCATGGCGACCGACATGGCCTGTGACCTGTGCAGCAAGAGCTTTGTCCGTGCCCGCGATTTCCGCGTCCATATGAAGGGCTCGGCCCATGCCGCCGCTCTCGCCGCCGCTGACGAGCGGGCGGCGCTGCGTGCAGCCGCTGCTGCTGCTCTCGCCCGCAAGACCAAGCTCCGCGAGCAGCTCACCGATGTCGCTCGTCACTACACCACCCGGCTGCATCGCGGGCTAGTCTCGGTGCCAAGCGAGTCGCCCGCGGCCGCCGATGGGCTCGCCGCCGCAGTCGCCTCCCACTACGCCACCTCGCGCCCGCGCAAGCACATCCTCCGCCTCCGCAAGGCTCTCCTCGGTCTCGCCGTCGAAACCGTCGCCATCCTGTTTCCGGCGGCGGAACTCGAAGTTTATGGCTCGATCCCGCTGCGGCTCGACTCGGAGTCGTCCGACATCGACGTCTCGATCATCTCGGACGAGGACGAGACGCTCCTGCTTAGCACCATTGCCGACGGCGTCGAAGCTCTCGGCCTGTCGAGTGTGACGGTCGCCCGGACGCTCACCGCCCGCATCCCGCTCATCACCATTGCAGACTCGCTCTCGAGCCTCGAGCTCGACCTCTCAATCTGGAAGCTGGACAAGCTCGAGATCAACAAGGTCTTTACCACGTATCTCAGCCTCGATGCCCGCATTCCGCCGCTGCTCTTTGCCATCCGGTCTTGGGCCAAGGCGAGGAACATCAACAACGCCTACACCGGAACCATCAACTCGTTCGGCCTCACTGTTCTTGGCATCGCCTTTCTCCAATCCTCGGGCGTTGTGCCGGTCATCGAGGAGCTGCCAGAGGTTGAGGCTGAGCTGGCGACTGCCGCCGCCGCCGGTCCGGTCGCCAACGCCTCGCACGAGCGCATTGCTGCAGCCGACCACGCCTCGGCTGCCACGCCAGCTGCCGATGAAGACCTCGGCAGCATGCTCGTCGCCTTCTTCGAGTGGCTCGCGGCATTTGACTACGACGCGCATCGCATCTCCATCCGCCACGGCGGCGTGACGTCCAAGGAGGCCCACAAGTTTGATGACGACACTGTGTTTGTCATCGAGCGCCCGCGGACGCCGTACCAAAACGTCACCCGCCAGGTCTCGCCCGATTCGCTCCGGCGCCTTGTCTACGAGTTCCGTCGAGCCCGTGACATACTCTCGGCCGGCGGCTCGCTCGTGCAGCTGCTCGCATCGGACTGAGGAGGCCAGCGACAGCGCAAGAACGGACGGAGGAGTCAAACCGCGTTCGAGGGGCCGGGCGCGCCGGACAAACTGCTGGAGGATGACGCCGAAGCCGACGCCGACGTCAGCGCAGCGTCTGTGGCTTCGGCCTCGGGCTCGTGCGCAAGCTGCGCCTCGATCCCGTTGGGGATGTTGGCCTTGCAGAGCGGACAGAGCCGGGCGCGTGCTAGCCATGGGTCGATGCACACGGCGTGAAAGCCGTGTCCACACGGCAGCTCACGCATTGAGCTCGCCAGCGCGACCGCGGCCGGCTCGTGCTCACGCTCGTCGTCGAGCTCAGCCCGGGTCGTGAGGCTCGAGAGGCAGATGGCGCACATGCGGTCCGAGGCGATGTCTACGCTCGAGCTGGAGCTTGCTGCCGAGTGCGCGCCGGTCCGCCGCAGGCCCGCCGGCGGCGCGGGTGGTAGTGTGCGTGCCGGGAGGTGCGCGTCGATAAAGGCGCGCGAAATGCCATAGCGCGACTCGGTGGCGTTGGGGTCTGGGACGCCAGCGGCGGCAAACCGAAGCGACTCGGCGCGCCGGAGCACCTGGTGGTGGTTGGCGCTTGCAATGCTGCGGGCGAGGATGAGGCCAAAGAAGCCGCAGGCTGTGGCGGCGATGGTGACGAGAAAGAACGCCGAGACGACCGCAACCGTGACGGCAGCGTAGTAGAGGGGCGGGTTGGTCGACTGGCAAGGCAAGATGCCGCGGGCGCGGTTGGCAAAGCGATCTGCCGAGGCGAGGACAGCAAAGATGAGCACAAAGTAGCCGATGATCTGCAGAACATACGCCAGCCCGTTGGTTGCCGAGAGCAGGTAGCGGGTGGTGGCCCAGGCCTGGGAGTGCTGCCGATCGGCAACCGACGACGCAATCTGCACCAGCAAATAGAGCGGAACAAAGGCGAGGTAGAGCGCGGTCCACGTGCGGACGTAGTGGCAGGGGCGGGCGGCGGTGGCGAGCTCGATGATGGCGAGGCCGAAGCAGGCGAGGCCGTGGAAGAGACAGAGGGTGAGATGGACGGCTGTGAACCAGCGAAGGATGCGCTGGTCGGTCCGCTGGTGTGCTTGCCGCTGTTCAGCTTCGTCGTCCCGCATGCGGGCCTGCTCCCGCGGAGCGGCAAGGTGGGATGCGGCGGAGCGAGGTGGCCGGTCGACAGCGGGCTGGTGGCGGTGTTGTTCGGCGGCTGTCACCGCAAGATATGTGCAGGGTGGGTGTTTTTTTTCACGGCAGAGGCGACGCTACTACGACGACGACGACGACGACGAGTCAAAGAGCTCGCCAATCTGGATGTTCCACAGTCGGGCGTAGGTGCCGCCGGCGGCGATGAGGTTGTCGTGAGTGTCCTCCTCGGCAACGACGCCTTCGTGGAGGACAAGGATGCGGTCGGCGTGGCGGATGGTGGAGAGGCGGTGGGCGATGACGAGAGCCGTCTTGCCGGCGGTAAGCTTGCGGAGGTTGCGCTGGATGGAGAGCTCTGTCTCGGTATCAACAGCCGACGTGGCCTCGTCGAGGATGAGAATGGGCGCATCCTTGAGGAGGGCGCGAGCAATGGAGAGCCGCTGGCGCTGGCCACCCGAGAGGCGGACGCCGCGCTCGCCAATGAGGGTCTCGTAGCCGTCGGGCAGGCTTGTGATAAAGTCGTGGAGCTCAGCCTCGCGAGCGGCGGCCTCGACACGGGAGCTAAGGTACTTGCGCTTGGTGAGACCGTAGGCAATGTTCTCGCGGATGGTGCCGTGGAAGAGGTACGTGTCCTGTGAGACGAGGGCAATGTTGGCGCGGAGGACGTCAAGCGGGAGCGACCGGACGTCGACGCCGTCGATGCAGACGACGCCCTCGTTGACGTCGTACATGCGAAGGACGAGCTTGGCGAGCGTCGACTTGCCGGCGCCTGTCAGTCCGGCGATGCCGACGGTCTCGCCAGCGGCCAGGCGACAGGTCAGGCCTCGGAGGATGGCCGGGCTGCCCGACTCGGCGTAGGAGAACCAGACGTCCTCAAAGGTGATGGCGCCCTGGGCGTGCGGCGAGGTAAGCAGCGGGGCTGCGGCGGAGCTACTCTTGGCCTTGGCCTTGCGCTTGGCCTTGCGCTTACCGCGAAGATGAGACTTGGCCGGAGCCGGGAACAGCTTGGGATTCTCCGGGTCGCGGATCTCGGGCGCCTGGTCGAGGAGGGTAAAGACGCGGCGGGCCGAGGCACGGGCGCGAAGGAACTCGTCGATGGTTGCGCCGAGGCGGGTGATCGGCCAGAGCAGGCGCTGGATGAGCATGGAGAACATGACCAGGTCGCCGATGGAGAGGCCCTTCTCGTCGTTGATGACCCAGTACGTGCCGCAGGTGAGGACAGCGGCAAAGCCGACAGCAATGGACATTCGGATGACTGGGATGTAGGCGGCAGCAACGCGGATGGCCCGAAAGTTGGCGTCGCGGTACTCGCTCGAGACGGTGTCGACCCGGTCAAATTCAAAGGCCTCGGCGGTAAAGGCCTTGGTCACAGCTATACCCGAGATGTTGTTCTCCAGCCGTGCCGCGAGCTCGCCGACCTTGGCGCGGAGCACCTTGTACCGCGGCTGAATAAGTGCCTGGAAAAGGAACGAGCCGGCGAGAATGACCGGGATGGGCGTGAGCCCGATGAGCGTCAGCTCCCAGGAGACGTAAAAGAGGATGGCGCCAGAGAAGGCGAGGACAACGCCAAACTGCAGGATCTCGTTGAGCCCCGTGTTGAGGAACCGCTCAAGCTGATTGATGTCGTTGTTGAGGAGCGAGAGCAGGTCGCCGGTCCGGTGGCGCTCAAAGAACCGCATCTCGCGCTGCAGCAGGGCAGCGTACGAGCCCATCCGTGCCTCGTGCTGCGTCTTTTGCGCCAGAAGCTTGAACAGGAGCTCGTAGAGGAACTGGAAGAGCGACTCGAAGAAGAAGATGGCAATAGTGAGGAGGCCAATCGCCAGCGGGAGATGCCACTGGCCCTTCCCCGGGTGGACCGCGCCAGGCTCACCGGAGAGCGTCACCAGCCAGTCGGGCGGCGAGCCCTCGAGCGTGTCCACCACCCACTTGACGAGAATAGGCGGGGCGAGATCGAGGATCTTGTTGAGCACTGACGAGGCCGCGGCCAGCACCAGCAGCAGCTTGTGCGGCGCCATGAACGCCAGCAGTCGCCACATCGGCCGCCGCGTCGCCGACGTGTCGATGTACCCGCCGTCCAGCCGTGCCTTTTCCTCGTCCACGGTCGATGAGCCGTAACACTCATACTCATACTCGTCCGACGAGGCCCACCGCCCGGTTCCGGACTCGGACTTGGAGAGACTCGACGTGCTCTTCAGTGACGACGACGACATGAGGTGCGAGACGAGTGGTGCGATGGGAT